CCAGGCAGTCGCCAAGAGTCAAGACTGACTTGAAGGCACGAGAAGAGAAGAGAAGAGAAGAGAAGAGAAGAGAAGAGAAGAGAAGAGAAGAGAAGAGAAGTCTTGGCTTAACAAACTCAACATGGACAATTCCAAATGGAGCTTTTTAAAGTCTTACCTATTTCAACCCCCCCTCCCCAACTGATGCTCAATATTTTCACTTCTGGGGTCAACCAAGTATCTCAAATGGGCCCAGAAAATCAGGGAAGCCTTTTCAGTTCCAGCTTTGTTTTTGCAGTGAGCACGTTCATCTTTCAGCTTCTACCCTTCCTGCTATTCAAGATTTAAGGACAAAGTTTTTGACTTGTCCTCTGTCCCAATCCCCAGAGGTTTACCTTCCCCAAGAGGGCTCCACCTGCTGCTTGTTTGGTGTGTTGGGTGTGTCTGGATGGTGAGAGGGCTTGACCAAAGCAGAATTTATCTGGTTCCTTGTGAGCACAAATAGCAATGTGACTCTGCAAAGTTTCACACTGTGGCTGCATGGCCTTTTGCATTCTGGGTAAAAACAAGGGGACCACATGTCCTGTGTATACCAAGACGAAATGAAAAGCAGCCAGTCGGTGGATCATGTTCCTGAAGAGAGAGAAATGCAATGATTCACATTTAATGCTTTTAGCTGTTTTTATGGTGCTATTTTTGTTTAGCTTTGTACACTGCCCAAAGTCCACTGGAGTTGGGCGGCCAATAAATATCACCCTATCAATCAATCTTTGATCCTCTTTTCCAACTTCATGGTCACAAAAGAAGGGTGTGTGTAAAGCAAGGCAGAGTCATTGGAATCATGGCGTAGGATGAACCCCATATAGACATATGCCACGCTTCTAATCCCACTCCCCCCAAATGCTTCTTGCCCCTTCTTTTTAAGACACGCTAAATTAACATTACATATCATTTTGATTGTGTCTGCCTAAAGCACAAACCCTGGCAGGAACACGTATCTGTTTCAGAAGTTAAGGTGCAAGAATCGTAATTGGATCATGTCCCGCTGGATTGTTGGATTCTCAAGCAGCATGGCACCATCCGGCAGGCCTTCTGTGTGCCTGGCACACCATGGCCAGCAGATCGCCTTCAAACTGTGCTGAAGTTGTGAATGGCCAGGTGGACGCCTTGAGAAAGCCGGGGACCATTTCAAGATTTTTCCAAGAGATTCTTCTGCATGTGGACTCGCTTTGCAGTCTTCCTACCACCATCTAGTGGAGGATACGTATATAAACAGGAGCCATCTGCATGTCTTAGATGTTCTACTAATACTGCTTTCATCCAACCTGCCTTCCTTTAAATCTATGGGCAAGTTGCAATCCCCTGATGTCTCAGCATGCTAATTGGGAATTCCTTTCAGCTGCAGTCCCCAAACATCTGGAGTGTGATGGGTTGGAAGGTTTAAGTGATGACCTTTACCTCTTGTACAGCAACATTTCTTTTGACTTCTGCTGACTTCACAGACCTGTCCATATAGTTCTCTCGACAACAATAGAGAAATGATGGCCATTGTCTTGGCAGGCTTTTATCGACTTCCCAGTCTAGCCTACAATCCTTGCATTTTGTAGCTGTAGAGTTATCTTCCTTCCTCTCTCTCTCTCTGTCTCCTCCATCTTCCTTCTCCTTTTGTGTTATGTCATAGGCCAATTTTCTTCCATTTTTAAGAAGCCCCTCCTATTTTTCTGTATTGCCAATATGACTTGGCATTTTTCCTACAGGGAAGCAGCCATTTTGTGCTTGATCACTGGAGGAGGGAAACTAAAGGATTATCTCTGAAAGTTTGTTTTGGAGAATGGTGGCTGCTTGTAGACTCAATGTGGAATTCTCCTTGGTTAACTGAATACATTCATGTTCATAGAAACCTGTGGCAGCTTTCTTGCACAAAGTGAGTGGGAAAATGTTCTACAAATGGCTGATAGTGTCTCTTCCGCACCCTGATTTCACTCGCTAGGAGGGAGATGCGATACAAGCTCCTTAAACAAATGAATACTCAACCAAGAATAATTGGGAATAAATGAGGGCCAACCATCTTTTCTGTTTCATGGACCAATTTTTTTGAAATTGGCTTAGTATTCAAATACAAAATGTAGGGTTTAGGGTGTAGAGTTTTACCTCCCAATATACTGGATTCTTTGTCTCTTATTTTCTAAAAGTCTCCCCCAGACCTGCAAACAAAGAAAAAAAGAAAAAATGAAGAAAGGACCTGGATCCCTTCCTAGACACATGATCAAGATATTGTCTGCAATAAAGATTTGAAAGCAGTCCCGCCCATTCAGCCTTGCTTCAAAAACCTTGTTGCATTTGTCACAAAACACTTGATTGCTGAATGATGTACGGCTAATTCCACGAGCCAAACAGAGCTTTTAAAGTGCTAATTAACAGCCCCAATGAAAGAAACTCATTAGTTGTTGTTGTAGCTAACTCATTAACGAGCCTAAATTGTTTGGAGCTAATTAGAATTCTGAGCCAAGCAGGATATGATGGCCAAACCAGACAGACAGAATTGGGCAGTGCTGAATAGCGAGAGACAGACATACAGACAGAGAGAGACAGACAGGGAGAGGGTTCAG